GATTTTGTGTAAAATGCAGGCTACCGAGTGATGGGCAGATGTCTGGTCTTCCCTATCCTGACATCGCCCATAACTGATAGTTTCATGGATTGAACTAAAATTATTTCAGATATTGACTGGATACTTACGCCACAAAATTTGATGCACTTACCATATGAACTGCCATCACGCGTGTAACAGGCAGTGGGATCTCCATTTTGTTACGATGTTCGTGGTTTCTGCTGTCAGCTGCTTTATATAACTTCTGTGTTGCACCACATGACTTCCTTTCACTGTCTCTCGAAACTTGCTTTTTTTTTATTCTGTGCGTTTTAGTGTCTGTTTCTGATATTTCAGAGCTCATGGACGCGAATTCTGAATTGTACTGCATTGTTTCCTGGTACCGTACACAAACGCTGCTCGAATATTTACGCGTAGAAAGCAGTTGGCTTGTTCATGTAGGCGTCCTTGTAGATAATGTTCAATATCATTTCCTGTTGACGTAATTCTATGCCTGGGCATATCTTGAATGTACTGTCATGTATGTGTGTGACCATAGATTGGGATTGGATTTATTGATCACTTAAAGGCTCTAACTACACATAAATATAATACATCGCTACTCCCACACTTTACAGTTCACTAAAGCACACAGTCTAGTGTTCTCAATCTGTTGCTAGACGTTTCCTGGTAACGGCTCAAACAGTGGCTATTCCTCTGCCTCCGGCTCAGGTCCATTCTTCACAGATTCCTGTACAGAACGGACTGTCCTGACTAAGCTCCAAACTTAGGCCCCGCCATAGCTCAGGCGGTTAGTCGCTGGCTTCCCAACGCTGCGGCCCGGGTTCGATCCCGGGTCTAGTCAAGTGGGATTTGTGGTGGACAGAGTAGCGCTGGGGCAGGTTTTCTCCGAGTATTTCGGTTTCCCCTGCCAATCTTCGTTGCACCAAATTCTCCGTCATCATAATCACCCGGGGCAGGCTACAATCAGTGGCCGCCGTGCCGAGTGGACCCAGTTGGACTCCACCCTCCACTAAGCGAAAAGCTCCAAACTTACCGGTTATAACATCTCGGCACGGACCACACAGAAAATATAGTCGTACTGATGCGTCCCTGTATGTTGCGGGCGTTACGCAGTTTACAGAGTCACGGCGTAGCAACGGCTCTATACGCCACATGTAATAGGGCACCGGTTATATAAAGTTTACACTGTGTTTCGGCTCTGTATGGCCAATATCAGATAAAACGCGTTACACTCATTCTCTTGAATCTGCTGTTTGCCTCTGTAACCGCTCCACTGTCACTCACTAATTTAAGTATAATTAGAATAATCAGTAACAAAAAATTGAGTGCAGGTAACAAGTAATACCCAAGCCAGTGTGACACAGTCACATTCTTGTTTTCAGGAATGGACTTACTCCAAATCTTGATGTTACACAGGAAGCACCCCCTGTGGCTTTTTCTGGGAAATTTTATTTGCGAGTAGCACGGCGGCAAACTTTGAGAATTCGATCACTGACAGGTCCTGCATGTCGTAACTTAAAAGTAGGCGGTTTTGTAACCCACGCCAAGCAGGTTATCTATCAGTGTACTGTCAAAAACGACGTTGGGACTTTAAGGGTCAAAGCCCCAAATTGCAGCTAGCTGATTGGAGATACAGAAATTGTGTAAACCCCTGTTCTCAAAATTACCCAATCAGTGGAATTAAGGGGGAGTGACTTAGCAGAGGAACTGACGTCCAGGGGACATCAGTGTTTTCAGACAAAGAGTAACAAGTTAGTTGACAAACAGTTGCCAACCAGTCACCAAGTGCCTGCTACTCGTAAATAATTCGGAAACAAAATCTGTGTTTTCCGCTGTTCTGAATAACCTCAAGTTCAGAGTGCTAAAGAAAGTGTAAATTGTAATAATAACGTCCGTTATACCAGGACTGTGCTAGACAAGGACCTATATATAAGCATCCTTTGTATTGACTGTGTGTGTGCGCGTTTGTGTGTGCCATCAGGTGAAGGGAAGTGTTGATCTCAATAAATGGTCACAGTGTTAAATGTAAATTAGCATTGAACCAACTACTTCCCTCCCCGTCCTAAGCGAGGCCCTAGCAAACGCTCTGAGAAGGATCCCAGCTCTACCCACAGCTGAACTAGTTGAATATCACCTTGACCGCCTTTCCAAAATAAACCACCGACTATTGTAAGCCGACACCACCTGAGCTTACTGGCGCCCAACCTAAGAAGAAGAAGAAGAAAGAGAAGAAGAAAGAAAGAAGGAGAGGAGCGACGAACAACGCGTGACTAACCAACCAACGAGGGGGGAAGTGAAGGTGAGGTAAGAACGGTTACAGAGTGAAGAGGTGGAGCCCAACTTGTGGGCTAGAAGCCTCGAAAGAGAAGCCGGTTACACCTCTGCAGTGGCCAATGTTTACATGTGGGTGTGATTATACGTGTTATTGCCAAAGTATAAAACTGTTAACTGTTTTCCCTGCCGATGGCCACAAAGAGCAAACCGTGATGTGAAATAATGCATAAAGTTTATACACGAATTGCGGTGTTGGAGCCAATAGAAAGTTTCTCACAAACTACAATCACTGAAACATTTTAAACGTCTTCAGGGCATACTGTTTAGTTAGTTAACGCACAGGGACAGCTTTACATGTTATGTATGTGTAACATTGGTTGTCCGTGTTAGATGGGTCCCTTGTCATCACGGCGTGGCCCACCCTCAGGTTGTGGCTTGAGGAGACGCCCTCCATGTATGGAGGGTAGCGGCGAAAATATTGAATAAGCAGCCGCGGACAGCCGATAAGGGGTGGTCCTTCAGCTGGGGTGTTGGGCGTGGGGCTGACAATTCCTCACCGTAAAAAATAAGTTTATTACGAAAAATTTACAACAAGCCTCGGACCTGGACGGATCCTTGGGTAAACGACCTAGGCATATTGAGGAGTTTCATAACTTCTACTCTTCTCCAAGTATAATTAGAATAATCAAGTCAAACATGATGAGATGGGTAGGGAGTGTAGCACGAATGGGGGAAGAGGAATGTATATATATTGGTGGGAAAGTCAGAAGGAAAGAGACCACTTGGAAGACCAAGACATAGGTAGGTGAACAATATTAAAATGGATCTCAGAGGGATAGAATGGGATGGTATAGATTGCATTGATCTGGCTCAGGGTAGGGACCAGTGGAGGATTCTTGCGAACACGGTAATGAACTTTCAGGTTCCAGAAAATGCTGGGAAGTTTTTGAGTAGCTGTACAATTGGCAGCTTCACAAGAAGGGCTCAGCTCCATGAGTGAGGAACATTGGTCGTATTTACGGAGCAGGACCAGCAGATGGCAGCAATAAAAATAGTGACACGTTAACTAAGTTCCCGTCGGTAATGGAAACCAGTCCTCGTTATCACTGATGTTGAGGGGGCCGTATCTGTAAATGAGCCAATCTTCAGTCCACCAATTGCTCCACAATCACCCTCACCTTTCATCTTGGGCTGGTACAATAGGCCAGAAGTGGCCGCAGTACAAGGGACTTAGTCCCACTTCACTAGCAATAGTGACGATATCTACACTGAGTAACCGTGACAGTATCAGCTCTGAGTAACCGTGACGATATCAAGTCTGAGTAACCGTGACAGTATCAACTCTTAATTAACCGTGACGATATCAGTGAGCCAAGTCATATAATTCTACGTGGCTTATTTAACGACGCTGCCAGTAACTAATGCTGCAAATCATCATGTGATAGGATGATAGGTGAACTGGGAAATATTTTAAAGGAAGTGGTCTTTGCCTAATCGACGTAATGTCCCCGCCTTACCTGGAGGGACTGATGAAAACGACGAACATCAGTCGCAATACCCGGTGTCGCGATCGAGATTCGAACCGAGTACCTACTGAATAGGCGTCCAGATTAGTACCGCTACTTCAACCCGCTCGGTTAAGCTTCGTTGTGCTTGGTTTTATATATATTATAGTATATTAAACGTCGGCTGTTTCAAGCTGCAAGCTGGAATATTGCCACATGAATACTTTTATACACATGAATATATAAGCCTCTATGAAGACACCGGCAATATATCAGACTATACAGGGTGTTTGCAAATTTGGGACTACGGATTCCCCCAAGCGATTTCTAGAATAACATTGGCATAGTGCATAAATTTCATGAAAAAAAAGGTGTGATGTAATACATTATGTGTTCTCGTTATAGTTATATATGAAGTTGTAACTCGGACTTACGACTTAAACCCATTGCCTACCCCAAAATGGTGGTAAGTCGAATTCAGTATAACGTGGGACTTATACGGTTACGTTCCTGCAGCTCAAAGCTCAGAGCCGTTTTTTTTTTAATATTTTAACACTCTGTATGCTACCATTCTAGTATATCGTTATATACTCAATAAAGTATTAAACATATAAACCATTAAATACAGGCAAGTTAATTAGTATGTTACGAAGGATTCATAGGAAGTACAGTTCGAACTACAGAGAGTTTTATAAAATGGCAGAAGTTCGAAATTCGAGTTTCGAGTCGTAAGTCCGAAAATTCTTAAGTCAATTTTCGAAGTACGGCTGAGTACTGTTACCCACATGTTTTTAAAACAAAGAAAGGTTATATTTACTTCAATTTATTCTATATCAAGAACTATTTCCATTATATCATGCCCGAATTTGTTGGGGCATTTCTTTATAACATAAATTATCACAAGTAAACATAGTTTATACAGAGTCTGCAGTGTTGTCATTTCGTCTCTATTTTGCAGACGTTAGTGATGCTACTCGAACTGCAATGCACAAAACTGGCAACAATTTCACAGATATATTGTGAGATTGTTTACAAAACTAAACTATGCATATTGCGTGTCTAAAACATCTTTGTGTGTACGTCACGAATCGAGTAGGCAAGCTTATGGAAGAAGCGCTGTGTGTGTTTAAGCAGATTTCCGTCCGGTATGTTGATTTTGGTTGACAACGCAAGTTCAGATAGAATTTAATGACTTTCGTGTGATGACGTAAGGATCTCCGTCACAATATGTTTATGACGCACCGTCAGAGATGTTATGGACACGGAATAGCCACATTTCTTCAACGTTTTCTTCCATTCTTTAGGTCTGGGTGTTTCCAGAACACGACAAGCGGTTTCATGCATAAAGCGATATACGTATGTCCTTTTGCTTTTGTCGCTAGGCAGAAATATATGCTTTATTGGCATTTACGTGTCTTGCCTCCACACGACTCAAAGGCGGCGAAGAGTACGGAGAATGAGAGTCATCTTGTACTATTCAGACCCTGAGTTTGTTTCTAAGTAATGATACGAGTAAATCAGTGTTTAGAATGCGATGTTCTTACAGCTGTGGTTATGAAGAGTCCTTGCTTCTAGGAGAGAACGCCATGTAGTCCGTTGAAAATTAGCCGACGTTTCCAGAAAAGCCTAGGCACGGCAGATGCTACTGTTCTCAGTTTGAGCAAAGTCCTATTGAACAGCCACCATTCTTCGCGTCGTAGTGGGACAGGATGCCAAGGGCGCAGCCCTGGGACACGAGGTTGAGGTTCACGTCACAGCGGAAGTACCTGTGGCAATTCGATGGATCCGGGAACGTGTCGGAACTGCTTGTGCAGTGCAGTGTCGTCGTTCCTGGCGTTGTTGTAGTCGGAGTCGTGGTTGTGGTTGGAGTTGTGGTTGTCGTAGGAGTTGGAGTTGTGGTTGTCGTAAGAGTTGTAGTTGTGGTTGGAGTCGTGGTTGTCGTAGGAGTTGTAGTTGTGGTTGGAGTCGTGGTTGTGGTTGGAGTCGTGGTTGTCGTAGGAGTTGTAGTTGTGGTTGGAGTCGTGGTTGTGGTTGGAGTCGTGGTTGTCGTCGGAGTCGTGGTTGTCGTCGGAGTCGTGGTTGTCGTAGGAGTTGTAGTTGTGGTTGGAGTCGTGGTTGTGGTTGGAGTCGTCGAAGTCGTAGTTGTGGTCGGAGTCGGAGTCGTGGTTGCTACAGTTGGAGGCAGTGTCTGGTTCTGCGTGGAACTGCTGCAGTCACCAACCTCACAGTCCGTGTAGTGGGGGTCGAAATGCATGCTGAGGGGACATGTTCCTCTTGAGGCCTGCAGCTTGCTGTTGCAGCTATAGTATCCGCTGCAGTCTGCAGGATCCGGAAACAAGCCTTGGGAGGGGCACACAAACGCCTTGACGACGGAGTAACCCAGCAAGGCACTGAAAATCTAATTTGAACAGTTCTTCATTAATGTTGGGCCTGGCTTGTTTCTTTGGGGTACATGAGAGACACAATTGCAGAGACTAACCCCGCAGAGCAGAATTATTCTTCGTAGGATAACAGTGACTGACGTCAAGAAATTATCAGGATTTTATGGATCCTGAAGGCTCACAACCGCCCACCACTGGTACCAGTCCTGTGCCAGAAGAAGTTAACCGAAATCCTCCCAGCCTCTTATGTATGCGGATATAGTAATATTTTCAGTGTTGCTATCTCCAATATATGAATAATATAGTTTTAATATTTGTTATATTTCCTGTTTTTATTTGTGTTTTCATTTTATGTTTGTGCATGCCACATTGGCCTGTAGGTTTATCCACTCTGTTAGAGTAGTTGTATTGTTAAGTGGTTTGTGGGTAAATATTATGAGCGTTCTGCGAGACTAATTCCGCTCCTGTAACACAACTAATTATATAAAAACTTGGGAATTTTCTCCGCCATTTGTCAACATGAAAGACTGATCACCCTGAAGTGACAAACTATATGTTATCTGGCTATAAGTGTATGTTATCTTCATACAAATAACATACGAGTTCAGCTCACGTCAGCGTAATTATGTTCAGTCACATACGCTCCTTGTTTTAGGTTTACTTAACGATGCTGTGACTAGCAAGTATACTCGTATATGGCGTCGATTGATATGATGACAGTTGAATAGGAAACAGTTTGGAATGAAGCAGTTGTGTCTTGCTTGAGATACAAGGTGGTTCAAATATGAGCGGGACTCATTTTCTTTTAAAACCATAATTGCCAAACACTTACTTGCACATGTCAGTTCAACGTACTCCCCTCTGGAGTCACCACGTTTTTCCCAACGTTCTGTGGAAGCATCCTGATGCCCTTGTACTATTCGGAAACTTGGCAGAAATGAGTTAGGAAAACCACGAGAACCTCAGTCTGTTCAGCCAATGTGCCACGTAAGATTAGAACTAAGTACCTCATACTTCACCCCTACTCCAACTCTATTTATAAATAGTTATTTTCATCTTTATTAGAATGTCAGAGTATTTCATGTCTTAGTACCCGTAAGATCACAATTAACACATTTGAGACAGAAATATTTCTATCTAGCAAAATGACTCAAATTTAAAACTTAATAGGGACGTAAAGGCTTTCACGCCGGTCACGGTAGCCGAGCGGTCTGAGGCATGCACTGTCTTCGCTCGCTCGGAAGCCGGGATCGTGGGTTCGGATCTGTTTCCTGTGAGGTACGAACTGAATTCTTATATATTATTCTTATACACTGCCGGTCACGGTAGCCGAGCGGTCTAAGGCATGTACTGTCTTCGCTCGCTTGGAAACCGGGATCGTGAGTTCGAATCCCACTCAGGGCATGGATGGTTAGTTTGTGTGTGTGCGTTTTTCTGTGTTTGTGTACAGGTAGAGGCCTTGCGACGAGCTGATCACCCGCCCAAGGAGATGTACCGAATGTCTACAATCTAGAAAACCCGAAGTGAACGGAGAAGTTCATGGAGGTAGGCCTAGGCCCATTGGGGGCTGTAGTGCGAAGGAAAAAAAAGGCCTTCGACATATTTACGCGCTTTAGCTTTACGCGGCTTTCTTAAAGGAGGAGACTGAAGCAGAGATGAGGGTTTGCTCAGCCGCACTGTGGCCCTTGGTTCGCCTTAGCCTCTAACTGAAATAAGTACTAGGAATCTTCCTGGGGATAAAGGGCGGCCGGTGCGTAAGATTGACAACCTCACCGCCATCTATGAACTTGCTGTCTAGAGAATGTGGGATCCTCGACGTCTCACAACCCTGTGGCCCTCCACGGCCTGGTACAGGGATACCTTTACCTTACTTTGCCTGCATGTAGCCTAGACGGTGAAATGTATCAATACATTTTCATCTTCAATTATTTCGTACTGAATCGAAGCGGGCGGCAATGTATTATATACCTTATATATTTATATAATTTTATGAAATAATACGTACAAGCAGGCCCTCCCTAACACAAATCAAATGCTAAATATGAAGTTCAATTTTGTCACTGTTCAGTGGAAATCTGTATTTATCGTGGACACCTATAGAATTGCTTTTCCAAAGGAAAACTGTCAGTTTTGGGGGTGGGAGCCAGTAATGGTGCTTACAAACTTACTTTTATGCTGTTTGAGACTATTTCTGCTGAACGCCTTTAAATATTCAGGATATAAAGTAAGTAAGGTAAAGCTATCCCTGTAACAGGCTGTGGAGGTCCATAGGGTTGTGAGACGTCAAGGCTCCCACATTATCTAGACAATTGGCTCATAGATGGCGGCAAGGTTGTCAGCCTTACGCGTCAGTCACCCTTTACCCCCAAGAATATTCCGAGTACTCATTTCTGTTAGAGGCTGAGTCGACCCCAGGGCCATAGTGCGGCTGGAAGGATTAGGTCAATTGAAAGACTCCAGTGACCTCATCGGGACTTGAACCCGCGACATTTCAGTTTACTTAAAATTTAATGTTTATTGCTAATATTTGGTATATTTCCTACTGCTCTTAAATGTTTCTTTTCCCTTGGCACTACAGCCCCAGTGGGCCTAGGCCTACCTCCATGAACTTCTCCGTTCACTTCAGTTTTTCTAGATCTTACACATTCGGTAGGACTCCTTGGACGGTTGATCAGCTCGTCGCAAGCCTCTACCTGTACAGAAACACAGAAAAACGCACACACACAAACTAAACATCCATGTCCTGAGTGGGAATCGAACCCACGATCCCGGCTTCCAAGCGAGCGAAGACAGTACATGCCTTAGATCGCTCGGCTACCGTGACCGGCTCTTAAATGTTTACTTACTCAAATATCCTAGGGGGGTGTTCCCTATCCTGACATCACCCATAACTGATAGTTTCAAGGACTGAACTAAAATAATTTCAGATATTGACTGGATACTTACGCCACAAAATTTGATGCACTTACCATGTGAACTGCCATCACGCGTGTAACAGGCAGTGGGATCTCCATTTTGTTACGATGTTCTAGGCAGTGCTGTCAGCTGTTTTATATAACTTCTGTGTTGCATCACGTGACTCCCTTTCAGTTTCTCTTGACACACGCGATCTGTCTTTATCCTGTACATTGTACTGGCTGTATCTCGTATTTCATATAGCTTGTTGTAGCTTCTTCTAAATGACACTACATTATTTGGTGTTGCAGTATACAATTAAAGGGCACATAAATTTGTACACGCGCAGTGCAATTCACTTGTTCTCGCATACGTAGTTGAAAATAATTATTGAATGGCATTTCCTCTTGACGTAATTCTACGTCTGGGTATGTATGGTATGTATGTTGTGTGTATTGTGTATGAAATGGGATACTATTTATGAGTGGCTGTGTGTGTGTAATTCAGCAATGCGGATCATTCTTAGTAGTTAAGGGACAGAACCAATAGATGGCAGCAGGAAATGGCAAGTAGTTAAGGAGCAGGACCAGTAGATGGCAGCAGTAAACGACAGTGGACAGTTCCCGAGCTTCAGTCGGAATTGAAAATCGGTCATCTTTTTCACTAATGTTTATGTATAGGTCAAAAGAATTGACCGGTGTTATTAAAATATGTCCTTTTATAACAAAACAGCGTAAAGTAAGAATGAATTTCAGCCACTGTCATTTTTTTCTTTTACGGCTCGTTACGCAATTTATAAATGTAGATGACCCAGCAGTCAGATGTTACAAGTTGTCCCGGATAGCTCACTCATTACTGCTACTAGCTTATGGCCTGAACACCCGAGGAATCGGGTTTGATTCCCGGCAGGGGTAAACGATTTTTGTCTTGTCTACAGCGTCTTAAAATATATCTTATAGACATATGATGGGATGGGATGGATTGGATTGATCTGGCTCATGATAGGGACCAGTAGAGGGCTCTTGTGAACACGGGAATGAACCTTCGGGTTCAATAAAATGCTGGGATATTCCTGAGTAGCTGCAAATTTGGCTTCTCCTCAAGAAGGGCTCAGTTCCATAAGTAAGTAAGTAAGAACAGCGTCTAGACCCACTGTGGGGCCTACCCAGGCCCCATTCAGTGTGTAACCTGAGCTGTATCGCCGAGAATACTCGTGAAGCTTTCAGGGCCTGAAGATACCCACTCGCCTCCATCTATTTCCAAGGTTAAGAATGCGTGGGACTATACCTGCACTCCCCCCATACATGTTAAAGTGATGCTTTAAAGAAACATAGGGATATGTTTTTACTACAAGTTACAATGATGTGTAGACGCAATCAATTCTTGTGTCTTCTCGTTCGTCAGTTCTTAATTTGTTTAAATTTCAAGCATAAATAAAAGTATTATAGAACTTACTGACCGACTGTTTCTCCTCTGAATGTTTCAAGAAATCAGAATTGGAGAATAGATGGAAATACACCAAATATTACACAGTAAACAATAAAATTATTTTTTTAAATAATCTTCTATAGTCAATACCCTAGAAAGACTGGTAAAAATAATCTTTAAAAGTTTAAAAGTATACTGTTCCATAAGATTATTCCTTACATTTCGTCAAGTCGCTTTCCTTATCAGTAACAACTTGTGTACGCTGCGAATTACTGAAGTGGGAACAACATCAGCGCCGTTGAATATACATTCCTTGAGTTTCATTTTAATTTAAATTGGATGTATTTTATTAAATGAGGAAAGGTTCGAACATGGAAGGTTCTGGCTCGTTTGTCCTGTCGAAAAAGTAACAGAAATGCAGTATTTATTGAACAGCTGCAAAAGGACCCGCTTTTTATCGAGGATGCCTGCTCTTCATGTCACTATTGAAAAGCATAACAGCTAACTAACCAACTGTTTTTATTGGTAGTGGGGTGGGACCTAGTCTCTTGTACTGCGGCCACTTCTGTCCTATTGTACCAGTCCCAGATGGTAGGTGAGGGTGATTGTGTAGCAATTGGTGGAATGAACATTGGCAGGGGAAACGGAAGTACTCGGAGAAAACCTGTCCCAGCGCCACTTTTTTTTTTCATTGGCACCACAGCCCCAGTGGGCCTAGGCCTACCTCCATGAACTTCTCCGTTCACTTCGGGTTTTCTCGATCTTACACATTCGGTAGGACTCCTTGGGTGAGTGATCAGCTCGTCGCAAGGCCTCTACCTGTACACAAACACAGAAAAACGCACACACACAAACTAAACATCCATACCCTGAGTAGGATTCGAACCCACGATCCCGGTTTCCAAGCGAGCGAAGACAGTACATGTCTTAGACCGCTCGGCTACCGTGACCGGCCCAGCGCCACTTTGTCCACCACAAATCCCACTTGACCAGACCCCGGGATCGAACCCGGGCCGCCGCGATGGGAAGCCAGTGACTAACCGCTTGAGCTATGGCGCGTCCTCACTAACTAACTAACTTCATGGAGCTGAGCCCTTCTTGAGAAGCCGTCATTTGTGCAGCTACTCAAGAACTTTCCAGCATTTTATGGAACCCGAGGGTTCATTACTTTGTTCACAAGAGCCCTCCACTGGTCCCTGTCCTGAGCCAGATCGATCATGTCCATACCTCCCCGTCTTAGCTTTAAGATTAATTTTAATATTATCAGCCCACCTACGTATTAGGCTTCGTAGCGATCTACGTTCAAACATGCAGTGCGTCAGCGATTTAAAATTCCAAGTGAATTTAAAATTTTTTAACACAAGTCTGAATGTGAGAGGTTGAATAAGAAGTGAAAGAAGTGACGTGCAACAGGATGCTGCAGCACAGGAACACAAATAGGCTTTGTTTCGTGGGGAATTTACAAGAAGGGTGGTCATGTGACCCAAGGACAGGGGCAGGGGATAAATGAAGGAACTGTTTCCCAACCAATAAGAGTAAATATAAGATTTGGTTACTGCTTTTGCTCTTGTTTTTCACACACACACACACACACACACATATATATTGTATGTTCATATATTGTGGCGTATTTATTCGAAGTAAGAACTGTGGAGCAAGCAGAGACAGCCTTTGCTAGGATACGGCTCTGAAACAACATTCGTTTCTAGGCAACGGTTACGAAACAGACAAGATAACGACGTCCGTTGCTAGGCAGCGGATCCTTAATAAGCAATAATAGACGGCCACTGCTGTGGAACGGCTCGGTAAACACATTCCCGCGGAAACAGTATACCAGAATGAACGGTCTTGTCTGCGTGGGCCTTTTCGAGGAGTTATAAGGAAGACAGTTGTGGCAACCAAGTCAATTCTGTACGGAAGTCTGTGAAGAAAAGAGTCAGTTGGAAGGGAGCCATCATTCAGAGAGGATTTGAGCGCGAAAGCTGAAGGATCTCCACTGTTAGAAGCCGTTGCCAGGGAAAGGCTGGTGACGACACAGCAGGCTGGAAAAGGCTTAACGTGTGTTGTAGTGATTTGTGAAGTGTGGAGATCAGCGATAGCGCTGTAATTGCTTGTAGTTCCGAGTTGAGTGTTATAAGTAATCAATAAATCCTATATTCAATCCAGAACCCCGTCTATAGTCACTCATTATTACGTGACACCATATCACATTCCGTCAGAATGTCTGAGGATGTCATTTGGAGATAAAAGATGCACCAACTGCTGGTGCATTTTACAATTTCATGTTGTGGTCCCCTTGGTTATGACACCGTGTAATCTGGTACGTGGGTACCAAATTTTCGGAGGAACATCTCCATCAACACTGAAGATGGAGGCAATTCTTTCATCTGAATCGCTGATACCAACTACCAGGCTACACGGTGTTATAATCTAGAACACAACAATATCACCAGTCTTCACCGCCGTCGGAGCATCACATCATATTATTTTAAACTTCGCTTTGCAGAACAGGGCCGTGACGCTGACAGTAGCGGCCGCCAGGATAATTGATCAATGGCGAACCGAAAAGAATTTCGTAGGAAATGGTCTTGGCATAATAAAGGTATTATCTTGGAATTTCCCTGAGGAAGCTTGCGAAAAATAACATCGAGAATAGCTGAGAACGTCCTGACTAAAAGTCTCGAACTTTGCCGCTACACCAATCTGCTACGTGTGCAGCAGAGAGTTGTCAGTGAGCTATCAGGTCGGGACCGACCCGAACTCTTAAAATGAATGTTTATAATTTTTCTTAACAGTTTTATCAGGGCGGAACGCTGTAGCCCATGTTGGCAGAGCTTGAGAAGACGATATGACACGATTCTGTAATTGGTCTTACGTAAAGGTCTGTTTACACGAGAGAAGTTCTACTTAAACATATGATTTCACTCGGAAAATTTAAAACACGAATTCTCTTAAATAATTAGTACATTTAATGTAAAACTAATTCAAGTGAAGGACTTTTTGTTTGTGGAGAGTTCTGGTATGCAATGCCCTCTAGTGTCCGTTGAAAATCAACGGACGTTTCGCAGCAAAATGCCGCCTCCATCTTCAGATTTACTATGTAAGAAACCAGCATGAAAAAAGCAGCAAGCAAGCACCCAGTAAGCTCTATTTGCTGCCTGTTTGAGCCGGTTACTTCTTTGGCTTACTGTACAATTGGCCACTCACCTTGATCTACTGCCGAAGTTATTAGTGCATGGAACTATACCTCCACTCCCCCATACTTCTTAATCTTATGGTGCTTATTAAGGACAGGAATATGTTTACATGTAGTTTAGTATTTACTTTTAACTTGTACGTAATTACCGGTTTTGGGGCCCACGAAGCCTCTTCTAAAATTAGTACATCTTTCACCGGAGTTAATGCGACCAGGGCGTGATGCTGATCACTAACCTCCAACTTTTACCGTTCGGAGGAACGTCTGTTTACACAATATCTACACGGCCCCACATCCCAGAAGACGGCATTCTTCATAGTCACCGCCGAGAAATCTTACAACTTTTGCCGAGTTCAAGAAAAATGGATCTATACACCCACTCCCCAAAGTCTTCGTGGCTTAGTGTTTAATTAGTTAAGCACAGGAACCTTCATTCCACAAATTGCTCCACGATCACCCTCACCTATCATCCGGGGCTGGTACAATAGTCCAAAGTGGCCGCAGTACAAGGGACTTAGTCCCACCCCACTAGCAATAAAAATAATAATAATAATAATAATAAGCACATGGACACATGCAGATATACGTTACCTGTTACTTTTAGCTTGTACATAAGTAAGCGTTAAGCAGTGAGTACATTAAACTTGTTACTTGAGCCACTTTAGCAGTCAGGTGCTGGGGAACGGTAAAAGGTGGATCCCACTGACAGATCTTAAGAACATGAGGAGGATGACAGGCGAGATAGTGACGAGCCTGTTGAATATTCTGCACAGCGCCGCGACGCCATATTTGTGTAAGGCGATATGCAAGCAATTTACACACGTAATAAAAGGAATAAACAGCACCTGAAGGAAGAGATAATGGAGCCCACCTTGTAAAGCGAACCTGCTATTACTCCTTCCTTTCTAGAGAGAACACGATAAAACAGGAGAAAGTAGAACTTTTCGAAGTCAAATTTCAATTCCGTACTGTGCTCGCTTACGCAAAGCAAACAGCTGAACTGTAAGATATGTGTGGGTGGAACTCAGACAAGTGACACGCCATCAGAGGCCTGGCTTTGTGATAACTCTGGTTTGTATCATGGATTTATTTTCCATTTCCTTCTTTGTCATTGTTTACGTCTTTCTTTATGTTTCCAAAATTTTTAATTGTTAATTTTCTTATTATCTCCCACTGACGAAACCTGATCTCAGGAACATATATACAAACTGTATGCGATTGAGACTGACACACCTCAGTAGCACGTAAAGGGCGGCCGGCGTGTAAAACCTTACCGCCATCTGAGAGCAGACTATCTAGATAATGTGGGAGCCTCTACGTCTCACAACCCTATGGTCCTCCACAGCCTGTAACAGGGATAGCTTTACCTTCGAGAATACCAAAAGACGCACGAAGTTCTGGAACTCAGCAAACCCAAGCGTAATGCGCTACCGTGAGACTCATTTAGAATTCATTACATCATACGTTTTATGCAACATATCTCCCAAATGTCAGCTAACCCAAAATATTCTTTCGTGTTAAGGGAAAGTTCAGATTTAAACCTGCCAGTCAGTGTGTGGAACGGTATCACAGCGCTGTGAGTTGTGCACTGAACACGGAGGATCTCGTTTCGTACAATTCTTGTAGACTGAGTCAGTGGTAAAGATGTTTCTAGCGTATCTGAACGTTACTTCTGGGCCACTCTGTATGACATCGAGGGATTTGTGAGTAGGAAACGGGTGTGGAGTGCTTAAGCGTTACAGCTTTGCTTCCACCGAGAGGGAGTGAAGAACCACGAGAAAGCTTAATGAGAGGAAGATGTTCCGGGCGAGAATCGAACCAGGGGTTCCCAGACATAGACATGGAGCTGCGTATATACACAGAATTCAATCCGCGTAGCCTATTGATCTAGGAGTAAACGTTAACGTGCACCTTGTAGCCTACTTTTTTATTTTGAAAAAAAAAACAAAACAAGAAGTTTAAGAGGAGCCGCGATAGCTTAGTCGGTATTGCGACTTACTACAGACTGTACAACTGAGGCGTCGGAGCTCGAGTCCCGATAGGGTGAAGAATTTTCTCCATACCGTCCAGACTGGCTCTGAGATCCACCCAACCTCCTATCCAATGGGAACCGGGGGTAAAGCAACCGGGCGTGAAGCTGTGACCACCAACCTCCGACCAGTGCCGGCGTCAAGAAAATGTGGATCTGTACACCCACTCCCACATACGCGTTTGTGGAGTAGTTAAGCACAGGGTCAACTTTACCTTCCCTTACCATTAACAGGAAGCTTGTGAGAATTGTGTAAATTAAGCCGTCAGCACACAGAGAAGTATCTTCAAGATGAAAACAAAGTATCGCCATTGTTTATTATGGGGAATACCCCTTTTGGAGAATGTAAACTAATAATATGCGCAAAATCCCAGTGGTGCCCTGTGGTTGTCTAAAATTAAAAATAGTTAAAACATACTGTATTAGGAACTTTGTTATTCAGTATCAATAAAGTTATTAATGTAATATATCTTAAAATCGGTTCAAAATTTATTAATTATTTTTAGTCTTTAAGTTTAATAACTCGTCTAATTATATGTTTAGTTCTATGATTATTTCTAAAAGTACTCCCAAAAATTTAGCTAAGAATAAAAATAGTTGAATGTTGTCGTTACCAAGTCATGGGGCGCTGTGCCGGTTACGGAACGCACAACAGGATGCAAATCATAAAGACCTTGATGTCTGTCTGTCTGTCTGTCTGTATATCCTCTCATTCGATTCCTTTACGAGGCTTATGAGACCAGTTTACTCTATGTGCGTCCTTGTGTCCCCTTCTGTCTTCATCGTTTTCTTTACGATACGTTTAGTAGTTAGGAGACATGCAATAACTTGGTTGAGGCATTGTTCTACAAGCCGGAAGGAAACGGGTTCGATTCCCAATGAGGTCATGGGAATTTTCAATTACCTGATCCTTCCAGCCGCACCTTGGCCCTGGGGTCGACTCAGCCTCTAACAGAAATGAGTACCAGGAATATTCGTGGGGGGTAAAGGGCGGCCGGTGTGTTAGGCTGACCTCACCGCCATCTGTGAGCCGATTGCCTAGAAAATGTGGGAGCCTCGACGTCTCACAACCCTATGGGCCTCCACGGCTTATTACAGGGATAGCTTTACTTTTAGTATTAAAGGAAAGTAGGCGGTTAGTTCTTCCCAGAACTTCTTGTTCTTAGAGCGCGTTAAGCAGTAGCGCTTTCATTTAAGAGAGCGGCTACGTCGGTGGGTGGGTAGGAGCATGAAGACGCCTCGGGTACGGCCTACCTGAGCTACCTCGACTGTAACTGAGCTGTCATTCCCTTGATCTTCTTAGCTACTTCTGTACACAATTGCTCTCTCCACCCCGCTACCCTTGCTCGCAGAATGTAAATGTATTCATCCCTCCTTTTGAATTGTGGCGCAGTTTTATCTCACACCACGTGTTATCGTGTACTGTAAACACGGTAAAATAATGAAGAGGTCGCGCCATAGCTCAAGCGGTTAGTCGCTGGCTTCCCACCACAGCGGCCCGGGTTAGGTCAAGTGGGATTTGTGGTGGACAAAGTGTCGCTGGGGCAGGTTTTATCCGAGTACTTCGGTTTTCCCTGCCAATCTTCGTTCCACCAATTGCTTCACAATCACCCTCACCTATCATCTTGGACTGGTACAATAGGACAGAAGTGGCCGCAGTACAAGGGACTTAGTCCCACCCCACTAGCAATACAAAAAATACATAATTAAAATATAATTAAGAACTATACATACTTGTGTAATATGTCCTATTAAGGTAGGTTGTTACAATCGTAACTTTTAAGTCATAGTGTTTTTGCGGACATATGGCGATAGTTTTCTTGCTCTTGTACATGCGTGCAGTCTTATTATTTGACGGGTACCTCTATTTACGTGTCTGGTAGGAAGGCGGACCGCAACCCTGAAAGTGATATGAGATTGTGTCGATCTCTGCTTGACAGTGTATGAGATACACGCCACGTGCTCCCCGAAGAAGGTTTCTGTTCCTCTGCAGGTGCGTGTACCACTGGTATGAAGTATTGTGTTGTACCAACCTTCTCGGTTGGGTCAGTACAGGGGGTGGGGGTGTTGACAACTTTGGTGCAAAATTCGAAGTGAAAACATTTTGCCTTATGTGAGAGGACGGAACGTGAGTCTGGGGGAAACTTCTGCGCACCCTTCGTCAGTAGGGTCAGTAGGGGGAGGGTAGACAAGGCAACGAATTCATAAAGAAGTAGACAATTTTTGACACCTAGGTGTACATATTTCTGTATATTTGTTGTTTATTTAACGACATGCTCAACAACTCTGAAAATGTAGCGCAAAATGTTTGGACGGAAGTGAACAACCGATTGGGAGGGATGTGGGGAAATAAACTGCCGTTGCCTGAGGAACTGAGGTGTACCACGAGAAACGTTCGGTGTCCCAGTCCAGATTCTAACCTGGAAACTTCCTGATACAAGTTAGATGATATATAGTTTCTGTTAACGTGCTTGGTGACAACATGTAGATAGGAGGATAATATTAAAATAAATCTCAAAGAAATTGTTTGGGAGCGTGTGAACCGGATTCATCTGGCTCATGATAGGAATTAGTGGCTGGAATTTGTGAACGCGGTAATGAATCTTCGGGTTCTATGAAATATTTGGAATTTCTTTAGCTATCAGGACTCTTAATACATTTAGTTAGGCGGTTGTACTTAGACAGTTCATGCACTGTTAGCAGATGCCAAGGGTACATATATTATTTTCAACATCATAGTGTCCAAAGCCAAAGAAACACAGATAACGTTGAGGTCTGAGGTTCGTGTCACAGTTGTAGTAACCGCGGCAATCCTTGGGATCAGCAAATCGCCCGGAATTTTGGCAACGAAATTGTACGTCAGAAGTATTCGTGTCATTCGCTGCTGATATTCCAAATCGCGATGGCTTCGTCAGGACAGAACACCCACCGACGCTGCACCCTCTTCTTATTGGATGATAGTATGCCCACCAGAAACACGATTCATGTTTAGCTTGAAGCGTGTTTGTACAGCGGTAGTAGCTATGGCAGTCATCAGGATCAGGAAAAGTACCTTCTTCAGCGCACTGATAACCCTTGGTAGCATTTCCGGGGCTCGATACTGTGACCGTATCAGCCCCAAGTGTAAGCACCTGGAAACAGAAATGTACATCCTAGAAGTGCAGCTCCGATTTAAACAGCGCAAAATCAGATTATTGAAAAATTCATACGTGTATATTGTAACGTGTTTCGTTACTGAATACGCCGTAGAGATCGTTAATTGGTTTATTGAACAATCTACAAATATCGGCTACAATTAATTATCACAATATTACGGGTTTCCACTCTTTACAAACCCTACAACAAAATCTCTTAACACTATCTTCACTTGTCTTCGCGTACTATTAGCGCGGGAGCTATACAAGTCTCGCTGAATTACGCACTCCAAATATAACTGGTTATCACGAACTATCACTGATTCTCGCACACGCGTCTGTAGCTCGTAACTTGCGAACTGAGAACTCGTTGATAACACACTGATTCTCGCTTGCTGCTCAGCCGGCTTTTATTCCGTTTGCTGTTGCTAGGGTTTCCCGCCACGTCACTACTGTGACGTGGCGTATAGCCTAGCAACGCTGTTACCTCTTGGTGACGTCACCGCTGTTGCCTCGCGTTGCATAGCCACCAGGTTGCGGGGACTCGGCTAACTTCGGCTCCGCTCGGCACGTCACCGCGGGGAGAGTGGCGGGGTGATGACTCGCCTATTACGAGAGCGCTAGGTTACCGCCACGTGCCGCTGGGGAGGTAGGGGTCCTCCGTTGCGCAACATGTCACAATATTATACAGGACGTGTCAATTAAAATTCAAGTAAAAGTACGCCGTCATATACATCGGTATTGTTGTCTTATTCGATACTTCATTGTCAGGGAGCTCAGTAGTAACAAGAAGAGCAGCCAAATATTTGGATGCGATGTAATATTCGAAAACGAACACGCGTTCCACTAGTCAATATATGTATTATGCTCGAACCTGCAGAGCTTCTGCGAAACTGACAACAGCGGCAGCCTAGCAACTAAAGTGGCGTTTGCAGGAACATCACGAGGAAAGTTAGAAGAGTGCATTACACGGCGCAACAGCCCCTGATTTCCTTCTTGTTCCATAAAATGTGTTTGTTGTTTGGTTGCGTTTCAAATGGTACACCATATATAATAAAAGGTAAATATATCCCTGTATCAGGCCGTGGAGGCACATAAGGTTGTGAGACGTCGAGGCTCCCACTTTTTCTTTAGACAATCGGCTCACATATGGCATTAAATTTGTCAGCCTTAAGCTCCGGCCGCCATTTAACCCCCAGGAATATTCGTGGTACTCATTTCTGTTAGAGGCTGAATCGATCCCAGGGCCATAGCGCGGCTGGAAGGATTAGATCAATTGAAAAGAATCCAACTGATGCGGACTCGAACCCGCGACCTCCCGGCTTGTAGCACAGTGTCTGAACCAACTACACTACCGCTTATTTATGTGTTATATTTACAGTAAACTTGAGAGTATAAGGACTGATTGTAGTTACAACTTGTGAATGTCCAATTAATCGATTCGCCAATCCAAAGCCACGTCTATAGTCACTCCTATACGTGCCAATATATACGGCATTATGTCCCAGAAGAGAACACTCTTCATTTTCTTGCCTGTTCGTAATGCCCATCTTGTCAAATATGCACAGAAATATATGTACTCACCATTTGCGTGTAAATTACAAGCACAACAGGAAGACCCTCCATTCTGGTCGGTGTATTACGGCTGGTGTGTTGACAAGCTGCCAGTTGTCGTTATATAGAGTCTCTGAGACTGACGCTCGCGTGCGAGTGTGTGAAGAAGGACGGGGCCCATTCACACGGCGGCTCATATCGGATAAACAATAGGGAGACCTTCGTACGGCTGTTTGCTGCATGATGCTCACGCATGCGTATAAAATGTGTTCACGCACAATAGCTCAGATACGGGTAAGAAAGTGTACACAGCTCACACCAAACGGATCTACATCGCTACTTAACTTCAGCACTTATTTCCTTGCTTACTCATTGGCTCTGCGGTAAATAAAGGGACTTAGAGTGCTCGATAAAGGGCCCACATATCTCTGCAGCATCCAGACATACTCTGGGGCCCACCCAGCCTTCCATTCAATGGATACCGGGGGGCTCTTTCCCCGACACTGATCTTGACCATTCGCCTCCATCTGGTGCCGAGGTCAAGACAGTTGGCTCTAGTTCTCCACCCCCCCCATACGTCTTCATGGCGTGGTGCTTAATTAATTAAATAGAGAGACAACTTTTGTCTTCTCGTCTGCTGTCCAAATATATAAAAATTAGAATATACAAAACGGTAATTTTGCCTGTGGTTCTGTATGGGTGTGAAACTTTGTCTCTGACATTAAGGGAGGAACATAGACTGAGGGTGTTTGAGAACAGGGTGTTGAGTAGAATATTTGGACCGAAGAGAAATAAGGTGACAGGAGGTTGGAGAAAACTGCATAATGAGGAGCTTCATAACTTGTACTCTTCTCCAAGTATAATTAGAATGATCCAAGTCAAAGGGGGATGAGATGGACAGGTCATGTAGCACGAATGGGGGAGACGAGGAATGCGTATAGTATATTGGTGGGAAAGCCAGAAGGAAAGAGACCACATTAAAGACCAAGGCGTAGGTGGGTGGACAATGTTAAAATGGATTTTAGAGAGACAGGATGGGATGGTATGGATTGGACTGATCTGGCCCAGGATAGGTACCAGTGGAGGGCTCTTGTGAACGCGGTAATGAATCTTCGAGTTCCATAAAATGCTGCGAAAGTCTTGAGTAGCTGCAGAATTGGCGGATACTCAAGAAGGGCTCACCTCCATATGTGAGTGAGCGAGGGACAACTTTACCTTTTACCCTTTGCTTCTATCTCCGTATTTACAGCAAGGGATTGAAGTTCTCATATCTGTGACTATAAAGATGAGTGGACCGCCGTGTAAGTTCGTCAGTTCTTTATCAGTCCTGATTTCACACGCCCCTTCCTCAGTCGCTCGTTTGTACACTTTCCTAAACAATTTGCTCTCCCACGTAATAACATAATATTATTCTCTTCGGTCATGAATAGTGTTTCTAATCCAATCATCCAGTCCAAACCCCGTCTGTAGTGACACACCCCTAATACGTGACAGTATTCTTCCGAAACGACGACAAAGGCATAGGAAGCTACGTGGCACCACATTCCAGAAGAGAGTGTGGTTGATAAATTATAGCTTTTTCTTAGTGTAATGTAAGGGGTTTCATTAAACTATAACAACTGAAATTGCGTTCATGCTTAAAATTTGTTACAGATTAGGGCGCCAAATTGCACACATCCGTACAGAAATTTCTGTGACGTAACACATCAACTGTTATGCACCAGTTAGGTACTGAACGTGTTCAAGTAGAGGAAGGTAGTAGGTTCGAATCCCAGTCGGGGCATTGGCTGTACTGATTGAGGTGTTCCTGGTTTCCCAAATAAATGCTGATATAGTGCCTCGGTCAGGCCACGGCCACTTCCTGACAAATATATTGCAATTCATGTCGTCCTATCATTAGATGCTCTCAAGATTAGCTACTGACGTCGCCGTTGTATACAACAGCAGACTCCGTGGTTTTAGTCCGCAAGCGAACTATACCGACAGAGCGACAGCTACTTGTCGGCGAAGTTAGCGCTAACTTTAGCGGATAGAGAGTGTCACGTGGTCAGTGGAAAGAATCCCCACGGCCGTTAATTTCGGTTTTCTAGATCGCAGCCGCTGTTTCCTTCAAACAACTCCTCAATTATCATCACGAGGCTGAGTGGACTCCGTTCCAGGCCCACTACTTCTCAGAAAAATTGGTAGCACTGGGAATCGAACCCGGATCTCTGGATCTGTATCCAGGAATTCTGACCACTAGAATACAGAGGAGGTCTTGGCGCCTTTGTATAACCTTCTCAAAAGAAGCCATTTTGTTTTCACCTTACGTCAGTGTTGAAAGAAGAGCTAGCAGAATGGACTTATTCACTTTTATGTCCGCAGTTGATTTCTCTTTGCCAATAAGCTACAGGTTTCAGAGTGTGTCACACTTGTGTACGGTTTAACACTCAATTTGTAATCATTTGTGTAGGAACGTAACCAGGGCACATCCCACATGTTTCCTTGAACAGAGTACAGAGTCTTTTGTGGTGATACAAGTTTACTCTGTTATTCGCCCTGTCATTTCTGCGTACTAGTACAATACACCTACACAGAATGCGTTAGAAAAGAATGCCTGCTCGTGTCTGACCTTCACGTCACCATATACCATAAGTCCTTTGACTCTGCGTGAGTTTATAAATAACATCAAGGAATATTGCTCCTGTATTTATACCTGTCCGTTGTGAACAGAATGGGCAATGAATTTGGTTGAGTGCACTAACCGAGATAGGAGCCGGGGTAGCTCAGTCGGTATATCAATGGGATACGGGCTGGAAGACCGAGGGGTCGGAGTTAGAGACCCGGTAGGGACAAGAATTTTTTCTTCTTCGCTTTGTCCAGACTGGCACTGAGGTCCACACAACCTACTATCCAATGGGTACCGGGGGTTCTTACCCCGAGGCGTGAAGCTGACCACTCACTCTAGCTAGTGCTGAGGTTAAGAAAATGTTGATCTATACATCCACTGCTCCATACTCCTTCATGGCATAGTGCTTAATTAGTTAAGCACAAGGAAGCTTTACCTTTTTATCTTTCCCACTAACCGAGGTAGAGATCGTTGCTATGGGTTATTCAAACAAAAACGTCACCCTCCTTCCCACAGCGCAGTTGCAACCACTGTCCCGCTACTTCTTGCCCTATTTGTTACGCACAATCCAACGGACGGATCTAAACACACGACACGTAGCTAATGAGAATAGAATAGGTGGATCATTGCATCATATAACCTCCTCACACCGTGCAGCGACTGGACTGTGGGCTGCACAACCGAATAATCGGGGTTCGGTTCCCGTCTGAGTCAGATTTATCTTTTCCATTGCAGCAAATGAGGTTTCTGGAGGTTACTCATTTTCCTATACAATGGGCACCGGAGGTTCAATTTGCATGGAACTATACCTCCACTTCTACATGCCTCTAAATGGCCTAGTACTTAATTAAGCTGTGGGAAAGCTTCATGTGTTCTTACTGTTGAGTTTAGTGTCCTTGGAAATGACAAGCAAAGACGCAGAAACAACATCTGTCTGAAACAGTTATACAATAGCCGTTGCTAGGTTATGACTCTGTAAACAACTGGCGTTTACTAGGTTATGGCCGTAACAGGTCGTAACGCACATCAGTGGAGTAACTGGAAAGCGATGTTCTCTACGCGGTACAACCAAACACAACTCATTGCATTTTAATATCGATAGATAATTATCTACATATTTACCCCTGCATGTCTCGAACACCGCTAATTTATTTTCGGGGAATTCTTCCAGTAAAAATATTTTGAATTAAATGTATAACAGATTAAAAGTTCTTGCAACGCTTGTGTGTGATCAAAAATTAAGAATTTAGTATTAAATCTGTAATTTCCTAGCGATGTTGGGTTAGTAGGCACGAAGTATCATTTGATTATCTTTATTTTTATGTTTCATCGTTTTTTAATACTTTATACATATATTTCCGTCTCAAATAGAACTTATTATCTTGTCCCACTTCTCGGTCACTACATGTTTCGACCGCAGACTGCCATCATCAGGTGTTGTCTATCCTACCACAACTGTTCCACTGTAACATAATTGCATGTCGCGCGTGAAGGCAGTGTTGATTATAAATAAGATTAGAACTGAAAATTAGAATTAGACTTCTTGCATGTAATTCTCGGCGATCGCTCGGTCGGTATAGTTCGCTTGCGGACTACAGGACACGGAGTCTGTTGACTTCTTGCGTGTTATTGAACACTCTAGCCATCATATATTGATGAGATATATTTATCTGAACTGCGTAACTAACTCACGAAAGTACAACGGCAAGGAACTATCAAAATTTATAAAACTAAAAATGTCAACAACAACACTTCATAACACAACACATATTTATATTACAGCAAATACCAACGCCTCAACAGAACAGTGCAACGCAATATCAACAAATCTACTTTCAGATAAATATATTTCAATGAAAATACCATTATAATTATATATTTTAATTAATAATCAACATTGCCTTCACACGCTATATCTAATTGTAACATACAGTGGAACAATTTGGCAAGATAGCACCTGATGATGGCCGTGTACGGCCGAAACATATAGTGCTAGAGAAGCAGGACAAGATAATAAGTTGCAGTTGAGACGGAAATATATGTGTACAAGTAAATACATCTATGAAACAAGGCGCTTAAGTACTATATCGTTTTAATAATTATTTTTTAATTTCACATGTTAGACTCTCAGCAATATTATTTTCTTTCCGCACAACTAGAGAACACGTGAATGAATTTTGAGTTATGTTCACATTTAATTGTGCTTGTTACTGTGTAATCACATAGCATGGCGGTTTGCAGATTTACGCACATCGGAGGAGCAAATATTAATGTTTAGCAAAAGCCGAAAGAACAGCCAGATTTTGCGGCATCGAACTTCGTAAGAATGATGCATGTGCTGTGTTGCGGGTTGCTTATCGTGTCACATCTGTAGTAACTGTGGCAGTCCTCAGGATCAGCATACCCCCCTGTATCCGGGCAAGTGAACGGCCCCGCCGTTGTTGGCTCGCTGGTTGTTTCTTCTGTCGGGGTAGTTTCCGGTCCTATCGAGTCGCCTGTTGTTGGATCAACGGTTGTTTCTGATACAGTAGTGTCATTTGCTGCGATTACCGGGGCTTCGGTTTGGGGGTTAACATTTGAGTTCTGCGTGCAGTTTTTGGAATCTCCAATATCTCCAAAATCTTCATCACAAATTATTTCGTATTTTACGTCGACCGTAATCTTGCTTCGTGCAGGATTTCCACTTATATCTGAGATCTGTGAAATGCAGAACAAATGTTTAAGCAAAACCATTACAACAAAACAAAAACAAACAAACTCCGTGGCCTTTAATCCGCAAGCGAACTATACCGACCGAGCGACCGCCGCTTGTTGGCGAAGTTAGTGCCAAATTTAGCGGATAGAGGGTGTCGCGTGGTCAGCACAACGGGTCCCCACGGCCGTTAATCTCGGTTTTCTAGATCGGAGCCGCTACTTTTCCATTCAAATAGCTCCTCAATTATCCTCACGAGGCTGAGTGGACCCCATTCTGGACCCACTACTTCTCTGAAAATCTGGTAGCGCCGGGAATCGATCCCGGCACCTCTAGATATGTAGTCAGGAACTCTGACCACTAGTCCACAGAGAAACCAGTACAACGCCCGTTGATGATTCAACAGGAAGTCTCCTCCTGTGTTTTGTATATATTCTCCATCTACTGTGGGATCAGAGTTGCGTCATCTTCACTTAATGACGTAGAACATTACGTCATAATTTGACAGTTACTAGAGTCCATTCTCATCATATCTACAGTCTTAATGCGCCGGCGGGAAATTCAAACGCATTTACACAAGGTATGATGTGCCTTGGTTCATAGAGTGAATGGATTATTAAGTTTCGGGCTATATGACCCGCGTTTGATTCTCGGCAGGCCAAGATTTTTCTCTTCTCCACAGCTTTCAGACCGGCTCTGGGGCCCACCCAGCTTCCTATCCAAATGGTACCAGGGGTAAATGGAAAGCGGAGTGAAGCTGACCGCTCACCTCCATTTGGTTCCGTGTTTAAGAATGGTGGAGCTACGTCTCCACTCCCCCATACGTTTTCATGGCATAGTGCTTAAATAATTAAGCACAGGGACTATTTTTTACTTCCCCTGTTCTTCCGTATTCCTTTCCACTTCTACAAGTTATCGAATGGTACAACGAGGCCAGTTTAACGCCATATCCCATGAATGACACTCACAAATAGTCAATCGTAAACAATCTCCTTCACATAAGTACGTGTATATAGATCTTCACAAGCGGTAGTGTAGTTAGTTGAGGTATCTTGCTACAAGCCGGAAGTTAGCGGGTTTAATTTTCGATGAGGTAATTGAATTCTTCAATTGACCTAATCCTTCCAGCCGCACTATGGCCCTGAGTTCGGCTTAGCCTCTAACAGAAATGTGTACCAGGAATCTCTCTGATGGTAAAGGGCGGCCGGCGCGTAAGGCTGACACTCTCGCCACCATCTGTGAGCCGATTGTATAGAAAATGTAGGAGCTTCGACGTGTCACAACCATATGAGCTTGTTAATATCTTTTATATTAATAATCACACGAACAAAAGTAACAGATATTCTTGTTGTCATATATATAGTGGCAACGGTCTACATTCCGATCAGGAGGTGAATGGTTCGAATCTCGGCCAGAATATCATAATAACTGCAATTCTTCGTAATTTGTCTCACTCCAGTCAGCATTTCAGGCCACGTTGTATTTGGTCGATAGTGGCTAATGAATTGGAGAACATTTGCAGGGAAGTGATCGTGGCCTACTTTTAAAGCGTTGCCCCAGAACTTCACCTGGAGGGAGTGAAGAAAATAATACATTTCGTAAGGACAGATATTTCGGTCGGAATTCGAACTGGGCACCTGTCGAATAGAAGTCGAAAACGTTATCACTTGGACTTAATTGGTTAAGAAACTTACCGTCACAATTATCAGAACACCCAACAGAGATACGAACCGCGGCCACTCCATCTTGTATAACAGTGAACACGTGTTTCTGTCTTTCGCCCCATTTTATACAATGCTTGCCCTTGAACATATCCAATCATCCGTGCAGAGCACTTCGGTCACACCTGAACAAATATTATCACAGACATCAACACAGACCCCCGGGAAGACGTTGAATCTGTGAAGGAGGGGCAATTATTACGTGGGTATAAAACCAGGAAAATGTTACGCGCGCCATTTCTAAATTACGTAATTCAAGCCTGGGCATGAGTTCTGGGTGCTTTCATATAAAGCTGCAGGTAAAAGGTAAAGTTTAAGATTTTAGGTTCTGATAGCTGTGGTTATGAAGATTTACACCTTCTGGGATATAACACCGTGTAGTCCGTTGAAAGACAACCAACGTTTCGGAGGAACATTCCGCCTCCATCATCATGGCCGAAGAATAAGCCGAGAAACACGCAAGAGTGAAGAAAGGAGCATAATTTTGCCAAACATCCTTCGCTCAAGAATTTCGTCTTCTGGGATGTAACGTCGTGTACTCCGTTGAAAGTCAGTCGCCGTTTCGATGGATGATATCGCCTCCATCATCAGTATCGAAGAATTAATCAAGCAGGAAACGAGGATGAAGCAAGTAACAAGCAGAGCTCTGTTACGTCGGTTGGCTTTCAACAGATTATATGCGTAACATCCCAGAAGACAGAACTTTTCAAAAGGTAAAATTGTCCCTGCATTTAATTAACCTAGCACCACGACATGTAGACGCATGGGGACGTACAAGCATAGATCCACGCTTTCTTAACATCATCATGGAAAGTAGTGGTCAGTGTCCCTTCCCTGCGTCTTTCCTCCAGAGAAACTTGGTAGGTTCCAGAGCTGGTGTGGACGCTGTGGAGCACAGACAAGGAGTTTGCCCCAGCCTGGCATCGCAACCCGTACACTAGTCGCCTTACGGACTCAGCTGTTCCGACTCAAAATTGTCGCTGTGCCATGAAGACGCATGGGGAAGTGAATGTACAGCTCCACGCATTCATAATTTTGGCACTAAATGGAGGTGAGTTGTTAGATTTACCTCCCAGCCGATTTTCCCCTGGAAAGAAGCCCCCGGTACCCATACAATAGGAGCCTGGTTGTGCCCGAAACCGGTCTTGACACTATGGGGAATAGAAAAATCATTTTCCAACACTGTAAATCAAACCGCGATTCCTCGGGCGTCCAATCAATAGCCCGTCGCTGTAAGACGAAGTCAGTATCTCATTTTTGTTAATTTTGTTTTAAATTTGAAGCCTGAAATTAATGTAAATCATACAAAATTAAGTAAGTAAAGCGATCCCTGTAACAGACTGTGAAGGCCCTTAGGGTTGTGAGACGTTGAGGCTCTCATATTTTCTGGACAGCCGGCACAAAGGTGGCGGTGAGGTTGTTAGCCTTACACGCGGTCCCCCTTTAACCCCAAGAACATTCCTGGTACTCATTTCTGTTAGAGGCTGAGTCGACCCCAGGGCCATAGTACCGCTGGAAGGATTAGGTAAATTGAAAAAATCCACTTCATAAGGATTCGATCCCGCGACCTTCCGGCTTGTATTTAAAAAAATAGTTTCCGCTTTACAGAAAACAAACTGTCTCAACTACTAAGAGGCTAAGCTGTTCAGATAATAATCTCAGTACGCCGTGTGTGTAAGATGAAAAATTGTGGGCGCTCTCTTCCGAGATGTGACACCGTGTAGTCCGCTAGAATTTAACCGGCGTTTCGAAGGGACACATGACTTTCAGCCTCCGTTTTGATAGCCACTATCTTGCCTTACAATTCAACCCAGAAGATGGAGGCAGTAGTATAGTCTACATACTAATAACAAACAAAAACAAACTCCGTGCCCTATAGTGCTCAAGCGAACTAACTCTACCGACCCAGCGACCGCCGCTTGTCGGCGAAGTTATTGCCAAGTTTAGCTGACAGAGGGTGTCGCGCTGTCAGCGCAACGAATACCAACGGCCGTTAATTTCGGTTTTCTAGACCGGAGCCGCTATTTCCTTGAAATAGCTCCTAAGTTATCATCACGAGGCTGAGTGGACCCCGTTCCAGACCCACTATTTCTAAAAAAATCTGGTAACACCAGGAAAAGAACGCGGGACATCTGGATGTGTAGCCAGGAATTCTGACCACTAGACCACAGAGGCGACTGATAGCATCGCAAAATAAAATTGGGTGAGTTCAGTTCAGGAATATATGCTGTGTCTGCTGTGCCATTGGTGGATATGTCTGAAAGTTAATTTTTGGGCAGTATTTACTTGTCCACCGACTTCGACAACACATCAATGAAGAAGCGTCCAGGCCTCTAAATGTGGGAAACCTAACCAGGCGACTCAAACGGACCAAACCTTGCGAACTAGCCAAGCAGCCCGACAGCTGAGTGATCTGATGGGCGAACTTAACTTCATATAAACTTAGTAACTTGGTGTCAAATTAAAACAGATTGTTAGTTCAAGCGAACTAGTCTTTGTAACATTCTGCTTACATCTTGTAGCAGACAGTAAATAATAAAAAAAAATTACTTGTCCCCAACAGATTATTGTAACAAATGGTGAGCAGGTTGTCTCTGTGACGTAGTGTCTTACAGTTAAATTGAACAGAAACATTGCCAGAGTTGTGACAGCTATTTGCGCTTCGTAAAGTCTGCTGGAGAGCATTCGTGTGCATGCAGATTGCATTAATAACACTTGCGAATATGTAATGGAGTTCTTTATTAAAACATTTGACTAATTGAGTCTAAGAAACGCAAATACCTATTAAACATGTTGAACAGAAGGATAAAAACAGTCGATAGATGCGCTGTTTCTTTGTGGCTTATTTTACCATGATGTCAGTACACAGCGTCGAATATTAGGAAAACAGATGAATGTTGAATTTGGAAGCATTTGAATGGAAGTGGTAGTGGCCTAATCGAGGTAAAAGAAAAAGGTAGAGCTATCCCTGTATCAGGCCGCGGAGGCCCATACGGTTATGAGATGTCGAGGTCCCCACATTTTCTAGACAATCGGCTCACAGATGGCGGTGAGGTTGTCAGGCTTACACACCGGCCGCCCTTTACTCCCCAGGAAGATTCCTGGTACTCATTTCTGTGACAGGCAGAGTCGACCCCAGGGCTAAAATGCAGCTGGAAGGATTAGGTCGATTTAAAAGAATCCACCTCATCGACACTCGAACCCCTGAACTTCCGGCTTGTAACACAGTGCCTCAACCAGCTACCTTACTGCGTACCCCAACTAATCTAGGTACCATTCAATTATTTGCCTGGAGAGACTGAGCAAAACCATGATAAACTTCACAATAGCTGGTGTTTCGACCGAGACTCGAACCGATCACTTTCCGATTACTAATCCAAAGCATCACCGCTACGATAACCCGCTCGCGTTTACGTGTTTCTTCCACGAGATAGTGTTCACTCATAGCCCGTATTTGTCCCACCTCTTTGCCTTGGTTGGTTTGCTCAGGGCCACTATATTGGCCTCGTCCCTGAAGATTGAGACAGCATGTTCGTCCTAAACACCATAAGCATCTACCAGACTACACAGCGTCAATTGCAAGCAAGGATCGATCTTCATGTATCTTTATATTCGTTTCCAGACGGCCGGAGCACACGACAAAGTTGACACCCACCACTGTGATCCAACAACCGCGTTACCAAACGGAAACCGTAGATGTGACGACTGTGTTAAAAGCTGTTAAAACAAAGTACACTCTGACCGTAAATTGCGCAATGTTGTCATATGGGCTAACCGGTTTTGCTGAGCGTTCTAAAAAAAAGTATATCTGTTTATATGGGTTGATGTTTTAATAGCTTACGTTTGCACAAGTTCCTCTTTTTATTCGTGCTCGAAATATGGGTAAAATGGTGTAGAGGGGTGGTGTATGAAATCGCGATAATGGTTTACAGTCTCATTAAATAGCTACTACAACTGTTATCAACACTATTTTTTTTAATCTTCCTCCATGTACGGTTTTTATCCGGCAACGTGTATCTCACTGACATAACGATAAAGGACCATTTGAAACTGTAGACCTAAAGAAGACGCAATGTGCCCACGGATGCAAAAGTCATGTAATATTAAATCTGCCAGTAAAGAAGTAAAGCTATCCCTGTACCAGGCCGTGAGGCCCATAGGGTTGTGAGACTTTGAGGGTCCCACATTATCTAGACAGTCGGCTCACAGATGGCGGTGACGTCAGCCTTACGCGCCGGCCGCCCTTTAACCCCAGGAATATTCCTAGTACTCGTTTCTATTAGACGCTGAGTCGACTCCAGGGCCATAGTGCGGCAGGAAGGATTAGGTCAACTGAAAAATCCAATTATTTCCATAACCAGCATTAACCTGCTGTTCTTTATGACGTAGGCGCATTGCGTTTCCTGTGAGGTACGAACCGAGTGTAGAAGAGGAAGCTGAGTCGACCGCAGGACCATAGTGCGGCTGAAAGGATTAGGCAAATTGAAAAAAAAAATCCAATGACCTCATCGACACTTGAACCCGCGACCTTCCGACTTGTAGCATAGTGCCTCAACCAACTACACTACCGCGTGCCCCTAGGAATTATAATTTTTAGGCGTTATATTTCTGACTGTAATTGATGGAAAGATAAATCGTATTTTGTTTCTTCTGCGGTACACGAGGTAGTGTAGTTGGTTGAGGCACTATGCTCAATTCATAATGAGGTCATAGGATTTTTAAATAGACCTAATCCTTCCAGCCGCACTATGGTCCTGGGGTTGACTCAGCCTCTAACAGAAATGAGTACCAAGAATATTCTTGGGATTAAAGGGTGGCCGGCACGTAAGGCTGACCACCTCACCGCCATCTGTGAGCCGATTGTCTACAACAGGGGGCTCCAAACTTTTCGAACCGCGGGCCACATTATCATTTTCCTGAAGTTCAATAATTTCCATTTGAATTTGACTTGGGACATCTGCAGCATCACAGTCAAACGGATTTTGAAACAATCTAATTTCCTGAGCACTGGAATCCAAATCAGCAAATCGCTTCCGAAATTGTTCTTTCA